AAGGAATCGTCAAATAGTTCAAGTGATTCTGATGATGGAATTGTTGGCTGTCCAAGAGATAAGGTTTGAGAACATTTAATTATAACTGCTCACCAATTTTATACTATTTTCTAAATGTAACATTGAATCATATACATCCCAAGCTATTGACCATTTGGTTTTGGTCATTGGTTTAAGATTTTCTCCAACTACAAATGTTTCAATAATATCATCCTGTAAAGCTACACCTGCTCGATAATTATTTTTAAAAAATAAAATAACCTTTTGTATATTGGTTAAAATTTTTTTAGCCTAATTAATTTTAACAATATCACTAGCAATTAATTGTATATGGTGTACAATACACCTAATTGCTAAAATATTTGGAAATCTAGCAGTAATATGATATTTTGCTGCCATAATTGCAGCCTCAGTATCTGATACTATTGCAGTAAATTTTTGTGTGCCAATCTGGTTTAAAACTTTGATAATTTTTTTTGCATTAAATTTACTAGTATGTAAATATGATGAGTAATCCTCAATTGAATAAACATATTGCCGTTTATCAGAAAATATAATAATAAAGTATATAAGCTTTGTTTAAGTGGTAATGCCCAACTATCAACACCTACAAATATAATTCATTAAGATATACTGACAAAATTAAAAAGCTTGTAATTAATTATAATAAGTCTACATAATGTAAGATTCATAATATCTTTTGAAATTTTAAAGTAACATTTGCAATTTCTGAATCTAATATAGGTCCAGATAATGTTGTCCTTCATGGTGGATTATATCTATAACAAAGAATCTTAGTAAAATCGACAAGGAATGGTGAATCAGCTACTATAAATGGTATGCCTGAATACACGAACCAACGAAAAAGTGCTTGATTGGCTTTTTTTATTCTAGCTTCATCAATCTTATCAAAATTGAAATATGCAGTTAATGATCTTGTATGATTTGATTTTAATTTTTTTTTGGATACATAGTTGAAATATCCATTGAAATTAGTACTTTTTCTGAATTATTTTCATCACTTATTGCATGCAAGTATTTAATTCAAATATTATTTGAAACTTTTGAATATCTAACTTCCAAGTAAGACTTTAAGGTAGTAGGTTTTCTAGTTTTCAACTTGTTTTACAAAATATGCAAGTAGCACTATAATATTTTTTCTTGGAATGCTTTGTTCTAATAAAATGTTCTCAAACCTTATCTCTTGGACAGCCAACAATTCCATCATCAGAATCACTTGAACTATTTGACGATTCCTT